GCCTAATGCATAGGTGGGGGCTGGCTGGTTTGCCCTGAAGGGTGTCCTGGATCAGGGTGGGGGTCCCACTTGGGTGCCTGGCCAGCCTGGGTGAGGGGCTGATGGCTGTTTGCAGCTGGTCACACCCTCTTCAGGGTGGGGGTCCCCACTGGGGTGCCTGGCCATCCTGGATGAGGGGCTGATGGCTGTTTTCAGGCTTCCTGCACCCCCTTCAGAATGGGATTCCTCACTGGGGTGCCTGTCCAGCCTATATGAGGGGCTAATGGCTGTTTTCAGGCTGGCCACACCCCCTTTAGGGTGGGGGTCCCCACTGGGGTGCCTGGCCACTCTGGATGAGGGGCTGAGGGTTTTCAGGCTGGCCAAGACCACAGGCGACTGAAGCTCCCAGCCTCTCCTTTTTTTCTTTTCTTTTTTTTTATTCTGGGATTTATTTACCTTCTATAATTGAAACTTGGTTGCCGCTCCATCTCCGAGGCCACGGCCTGCTGAAAGCAGGTATCTGGGTTTGTTTAGCTTCTATAATTGCAACTTGGTTGCTTTTGGAGCTCAGAGCCTGGCCCCAGCAGGCGGGGAACCTTGGCTTCCTCCATCACTGGAGCAAGCAAGCCTCCTGTTCGATTCAGCCTCATGGCTGCCGGCCACCATCTTTGATGGCGGTTAACTTGCATATCTTCCTGATTAGCCAATGGGAAGTGTAGCGAGGTATGGTTAATTTCAATCTTTGTCTCTTATTAGATAGGATATTATTGGTCCTTGAAAATAAAAAGTGAATATACACACACAGTATGTATTTACATACACACAATTTTTTCTTCTTAATCATTCTTTATTAATATTTCCAGTTCTTCAGGTCACCTGAATAGTCATCTTCTCTTTATAATCTTCTCTTTAAGTGAGCAATATAAATGCTCATAAAAATAATTCAGATACTTTGGATACTTTGGACCCCAAGTATTTCAAGAGTCAAAAACTACTGTGAACACCTTAATATCAAATTTCTGAATCCATTTCTGAATGAATAAAATAGCTTCCTACGGTGAATTTTCCAGGGAAAAATATTTTGACATCTAACTGGAAGAATGAAGGAATAAACAAACTCAGAAATAAAAAAACATGTAGGTTAATTAATAGCTTTTGAAAATAAATGGTTTCTATTGAATAAATATTAAATTAGGAAGAGATAGTAGGATGTAGTCAGTCCACCAATGTACTGATTATTTTTATAGACAATTAGTTAGTAATATTACTTATTTTGACATTTGAAATGTTTAATACCTAATTCTAGAAACACTGAAAAAATAACTCATCATACCAAGAATAGAAATATCACAAGGAGAAACAAGTATTAGGCCCCGTGGGTCAAAAAATTGTATTATTTAGGCACGTTGGGCCATGAGTCTTTTTTGTTTTTCATCCAGTTTATTCTTGACTGTATTTCATAGCCTTTTTCTGTTTTAATTTAATCTGTATTTTATTTTAATTTTTTAAATTAAATCTTTATTATTGAAAGTATTATATATGTCCCCTTTCTCCCCCATTAATCTCTTCTAACCTGCCCTGGCCCCTGCCCCAGGCCTTCATGACCCTATAGTCTGTGTCCATG